TTTTGTCAAATCTGCTTCAAAATTATGAAAGATAGCAACGTGAAACGCAGAACCCTTGATAATCATGACCAGGAAAAGTTATAAAACAAGGGGCATTAACCTGAAAGCAATTTATTTGAAGAAAGTTAATATTATAAGAGTTTGGCCCCTTTTAAACTGATACTCAGAGCTAAGATTACTGACATGTAACATCACTTTGTTGACCACAAAAATGGTATTAATCATGCCCCTTGGGTCAAGATTGGCCCTGGGATCACTTGTATGAGGAAACACATTTCAGTCTTATTTTGTGAAACTACAATGCCTTGAGTTTAAATATTTGTCATGTAGTATTGCTTTATTGACCTCTACAAAAAAGATATAAATTATGACTCCTGACATGGAGCATTTCCTAATGGACCTTCACAAAACTGATATTAACCTTTGGTTAATATATGGCCTGCCCTGGGAGTCACTTTACTGCCCTGGGAGTTACTTTATTTACATTGTATATAGACTCACATAGAAAAAAAAACAACAGTAAGTTTTATTGTGCAGAGTTACAATGTCAAGAACCAACTTATATAGCATGTAGCATAACCTTGTGGAACTCTGCAAAACTGCTATTTATCATGCCCAATGGGGTCAATATTGGCCCACCCCCAGGGTCACTTGATCTATACACACTTGTATAGGAAAACACATTTAAGTCTTATTTTGTGAAACTACAAAGCCCAGAGCATAGATATTTGGCATGTAGTATCAATTTGTAAATATCTCCAAAAATATTATAAATCAGCACCTTTGGGGGGGGGGGGCATTGATTTTCCATATTTGTATATAGTAAAAACTTAACTAGAACTATCACTAAATGTGATTAATACCCCCGCAAGACAGCACCCGAAATGTGGATGTTACTAGTAACAGAATGCCTTGTAAAAGAATTGAAATTGAGTTATGGTTGTGGGCAAATAAAGATAGTTGTGGTTTTTGTATGTTGCATTTCCTTTCAATGTGGTTGGCAATTGATGAAATTTTATTGATTTACTCTGTAATATGTCCAGAAAGACAAGGAAAAGGAACAAAGGGCAATAACTCTATAAATACTGAAGATGGAATTATGGTAATTGTACACTGCACTTCCTCTCATTGTGCTTGACCTTTGTATGAAATTGTATTGAATTCCAACTACCAGTTTTCAAGTTATGCACTGGACAAAAAAGTAACAAAGGGCAATAACTGTAATTAGTCCAAATAGAGTTATGGTTCTTGTGCACTGCAATTCATCTCACTGCCCTTTATCATTGTATAAAGTTTCATTGAATTCCAACCATTAATTTTTAAGTAACAAAGGGCAAAAACTTTTAAATAAGTCAAGCAAAGAGTTATAGTTTCTGTGCACTACACTTCCTCTCAATATACTTGACCATTGTATGAAATAGTATTGAATTCCAACTAGCAGTTTCTAGTTATGCTCTGGACAAGAAAAAAGCAATGGAAAAGTAACAAAGGGCAATATCTCTATAATTAGTCAAGATAAAGTTATGCTTCTTGTGCACTGCACGTCCCCTTATTATGCTTGACCATTGTATATCAGATTGTTTTGAATTCCAACCAGTAGTTTTTACGTTATGCTCCGGAAAAGGAAAAGTAACAAAGGGCAGTAACTCTGTAATTAGTCAAGATGGAGTTATTGTTCTTGTGCACTGCACTTCCTCTCAATGTGCTTGACCAATGTATGAAGTTATATTGAATTCCAACAATTAGTCTTCAAGTTATGGTCCGGACAAAATAAAGCAATGAACAAGTAATAAAGGGCAATAACTCTGTAATTACTTTAGATAGAGTTATGGTTCATTTGCACTGCACTTCCCCTTATTGTGCTTGACAATTGTATGAAGTTATTTTAAATTCCAACCAGTAGTTTTCAAGTTATGCTCCAGACAAGGAAAAGTAACAAAGGGCAATAACTCTGTAATTAGATGGAGTTATGGTTCTTGTGCACTGCACTTCCTCTCAATGTGCTTGACCATTGTATGAAGTTATATAGAATTCCAACCATTAGTCTTCAAGTAATGCTCCGGACAAGGAAAATGCAACAGACCGCTGGACCTACCGACCACCGAGTGTCACTCCTATATACCCCCCAAAACATCGTTTCAGGGGTATAAAAAATCTTCTTTTAAAAAACCATAAGAGCTAGAGGTAAGATATTTAGCATGAAACATCTTCTAATGGGTGTCTACCAAGTTTGTTCAAATAAAGGCCCTGGGGTTAAAATTGGCCCTGACCCCCAGTCATTGATTTTCCTTATATGTGTATAATTAAAACTTAAAAAAATCTTCTTTAAAAAAAAACCCAAAGAGCTAGAGTTAAGATATTAAGCATGAAATATCTTAGTGTCTACCAAGTTTGTTCAAATATAAGCCCTGGGGTCAAAATTGACCCCACCAGGGGGGGGGGGTGTCACTGGTTTTCCCTACATGTGTATAAAACCCCAAAAACTAGAGCTTAGTACAACATGAAACATCTTCTAATGGGTGGCTACCAAGTTTGTTCAAATTAAAGCCCTTGGGTTTAAATTGCCCCGCCCGGGGGTCTATATACAAGTAGGTCATGGCCCTCTTGTTTATACACAGCCATGCAAAGTTATATTAGAGCATAATTTTTTTCATTTTGGGAAAATGCAAAAAAAAACTCATTACTATACAGTTGTTGTGTAGATTAATTATTTAAATTTCTCAATTATCCAATGAAGGCGATATTACAAACATACTTAAATAAAATTAATAAAATCTTAAAACATGATCCAAACAGACTGATCATTAAGTTATGAAAACAAAAAATCATCCAAATTGTGTTTTTCTTGGTTTCAAAAATGCAATTCTGACTACCAATATCAATCATGTTATAAAAATAATGTTTAAAAATAATGCAATATACAAATAAAATTGCTTAGTTTCATTTTATTCAGAAATGCACAATTTAAATGCTAAAATTTTAACTACTTGAATAAATAAAATGGTGTATTGAATTTCTTTGTGTCTTCACAATACATTTATTTCCCTTGATCAATATATATTTACTACCTGTATAATATAAAAAATAAATACAATCAAGTTTTAAACTTTTATAAAATCAATATGTCTATTTATAGGATTTAAGTATGTTGAAGCGTGTACTTTCAGTATATTCAAACTAAACAAATAGTCAAATGCCTTTTTCCTCTCCTTAATACAATGGATAGGAAAAAATATTCATTTTATCTTTCTGAAGCACTGGATGCCCTTGGCTTCAGTTATGAGTGCATTAAACATAGACAGAAATCATGGGAACTTTGTGGTGACTATCTTACCGCTGATGAAGTGGAAAATGTTACAGATCTGATTGCTGGGAGTAAAGCTGAAGGAGTCAGCAGAGTTTTTGAGGGAGACTATGACCTAATGGTGTCATTGAATAATTTTATATGCTATGGAAGCGTAGATGACGTGGCTATCAAGGATGATACTGTTCTACACAAAAATAATGACTTTAAGGGTGAAACTACTATTCTTTATCAAAGAGCAAACCAGAACTCAGACAACCTAGAGGAACAGGAAAAAGAAACCTACGAAGCTGATAATATTCAATGGCATGTTGATATGTTCAATGATCCAGATGAAACTATAACAGTGAAAGATATCCCACAAAATGAAGTTGCTTGCCGAAAACTTGATAAATCTGATACAAAAAATCAGATTGATGGTATGTTTTTAATGGACACTGAAAACGTATCACCTGGTTATACGATATTAAAAGTGATGCATTTAGAAGAAAAGAAATTACTGGACACCCAAATACAAGAACAGGTAGCTCTAGCTTCTGCAAAGGTGGACAGAAATGGATCATGTATCCTTTCAAGTAAAGAGTTTTCTGATAAAGCTTATGAATGTGATGAAGACGAGTACACAGAATCAGTTGCCGGGCCAGCTGGTCGAAGTGACGCTAATAAAGATTTGGGTATTATTTGTGATTCAGACTCAGTTTTCTGCATACCATGTGTTTGCAAAGCAATCAATAAGTCGTGGTCAGAAAGGAGGAGAAAGTTTGGGTGGCCAGGAAGGGAGGTTATAGATGAGGTCTCAAAACTTGATGGTCATGTTGTTCCAGTTGGATTCAAAGGTAGTGAAACAAGCAACATTGAATGGAGGATATGTTACACTTTATCCGAAATAAAACTTATTCAGTCTTTCAATGAAACACAAATAAAGCTTCATACCCTCATCAAAATTGTAGGAAAGAAAATTCTTCATCCAAAATGTTCTGACATCACATCTTACATTCTGAAAAATCTGTTACTTTGGATGGCTGAAAAGATTCCAACAGAATGCTTCATAATCGAAAATCTATATGGATTACTGATGGTGGCACTCAAGTATTTGAGACATACAATAAAGGAGAGAAATTTACCAAATTACATGATACCAAAGAGAAACTTATATTTTGGAAAACTGCCAGAAGAAGAAAGAAAAGAAGTTTTAAATGTGTTGGATGATGTGATTAATTGTAAATGTGTCTTTATAGAAAAATATGAAGAATTTTCAATCTTGTCTAGATATATTCGTATAGCTGTAAATGACCACCATTTAATACGATACATGGAATCCAACAGGCTAAATTTAGAAATTCTATTCCGACAAAACTGGCGTGAAATATGGGAAGACAGAGTATACATCTTTTTACCACTTTGTCTAGAGCAATCTCCATGCCTGAAAGCAATTGTTTCATTGTGTGACATGGTAAATGCAAGTTCTACAATGAAACAAATTGTTGTTGAGAGAGTATTTTGGTGGGTCACTGGCAGGAATGATAGTGAAGCAGTGAAGGCTGACAAAGCATGTGTTCAAAATAGCGATGCCTATTGGAAGTGGGATGAAAATGGTGTTATAAGACCAATATATTATGACAAAATACTCAACAAAGAACAGATAGATGAATTTTTTCATGATAAATACAAGAGCGATCAGTAATCACATGTGTCGCCTCATGATGGCCAATTTCATATTGGGACAAATTTTGTGACAGACGGACAGACAGTGCACAACTAGACTTGGTACTGATCATTCCTGTAAAGTTTGGATAAAATTGCACCAGTAGTTTATGAGGAGTAGTCCGGACAAGCTTTTGCGTATCTGGCAACACACAGAAAAAAACACCTTTTTATCAAAGGGCCATAACTCGGCCAAAAAACATTCAACCGGAAAACCCGTGCAATATGCCCAAGGACTTGAGCTACAGATCAATCCTGTTAAGTTTCATTGAAATTGCATTAGTGGTATAAGAGAAGTAGTCCGGATAAACTTTAAAAATAAAAATTATTAAAGGGCCATAACTCTGACAAAAATCATTGATCCAGAAAATGCTGACAATATGCACAATTAGACTTGGTACTGATCATTCCTGTAAAGTTTGGATAAAATTGCACCAGTAGTTTATGAGGAGTAGTCCGGACAAGCTTTTGTGTATCTGGCAACACACAGAAAAAAACACCTTTTTATCAAAGGGCCATAACTCGGCCAAAAATCATTCAACCGGAAAACCCGTGCAATATGCGCAAGGACTTGAGCTACAGATCAATCCTGTAAAGTTTCATTGAAATTGCATTAGTGGTATCAGAGAAGAAGTCCGGACAAACTTTAAAATAAAAAATTATTAAAGGGCCATAACTCTGACAAAAATCATTGAACCGGAAAATGCTGACAATATGCGCAACTAGACTTAGTACTGATCATTCCTGTAAAGTTTGGATGAAATTGCACCAGTAGTTTATGAGTAGTAGTCCGGACAAGTTTTGTGATGGACGGACAGACGGACGGACAGACGACGGAGAAGTGATCCCTATATGTCACCACTACTCTGTAGAGGCAACACAAAAAAGTACTTGTAAATATTACTACATGTATATGTATTATTAGCATAAAGATATCAACTGTAGCTTTAAAAAACATTTAAAAAATGTATTAAACTTTAAAAATTACAGCCAAATTGAATTTTTAACAGCAATACACTGCATGTCCATCATCATGTATACATAAGTCTGTTTATTCTTTATTTTACATTACATTTAATTTTAAATCATGAATATATCTATTCTAACATTTCTTTTTTTCTCGTGAATCTATGAATACTCTATAGGCATTCAGTTTGTTTTCCTCTTGCATAAACAATGGTAAAATCTCTCCAAAGTCATTCCAAAACCAACATGTACTTCTGCTTGTACGCCCATCATCAGCTGCTACTGCTCCCATTTTGCCTGTGATCCACCAAAACACTTTTTCTATTACACAATTTCTTGTTTTAGAACTTACTTTTAACAAGTCACATATTTGCAACATTGCTGTTAAACAAATACACTGTTTGGTGCATGTATGCAAAAAATCTGGTGTTCTAAATTCCCAAACATCTCGCCAGTTTTCCAAAAATATTTTCTCAAAAAGTTCCCTGTTCCTCTCCATATAAAAAGCAAGTTCTGGTTCATTTATACAAATAACCATATGTTGTGCAAGAAAATTTAGTTCTTGAAATTTTGTAATGAAAAAAGTATTGTCATTTATTATCCCATCCAGAACTTTCAGCACATTTTCTCTCTCATCTGTTGGAATTTTTGCTAAAAACAAATTCCTTTCTGGTATCATGTAATTGGGTAATGACCTTTTGTCAATAGAATACCTTAAAAACTTTAGAGCAACCCTCAACAATCCGTATAGATTCTCAATTTCATATCTTTCAAAAGGGATCTTTTCAGCCAGCCAAAGCATTACATTCTTCAAAGTATAAGAAGAAATGTCTGAACATATTGGTTTCAAAAGAGCTTTTCCAACCATTTTAATTAGCACATATAATTTCACTTGTGTCTCATTAAAAGAATGAATAAGTTTTACCTCAGACTTGGTAAAGCAAATTCTCCATTCAATATCACTTGTCTTACTTTTTTTATTACCAACTGGAACAACATGTCCATCAAGTCTGGATATTTCTTCTATAAGCTCTTTACAAGGCCACCTATAATTCCTTTTACGGTTTACCCATGCTTGATTTATACTTTTACAAACACAGGGTATGCAGAACACAGAATCAACATCGCAGACACTTCCACTATAAGGATCAGCTAAACTTGTTCCTGCAGGGCCATCTACAGTCTGTGTAAATTCATCTTCATCACATTTATAGGAAAATTCTCGAAATCGGCTACTTGAAATCACTTTAGTTCCATCAAGTTCAATTATGGCATCTACAAAGGCACAATTTTCCTGCACATAAGACTTGAGTAACTTTTGTTCATTTAAATGAACCACTTTCAACACTGCATAACCCATTGATATGTTTTCACTGTCTAACAAAAATATACCATTATATTTCACAATACTGTTTTTTTCTATGACAGCAATATTTTGCTCTGATTTAGTTATTTTGAGATCAATACTGGTCAATCTCTTTCTGGCTTCTTCAATGTTGTTTTGGATATTTGCTGTGTAATCACTGTCTCTAGATATTTCTGTATCTGAAACAGATTCAGCATTACTACTTTTCATTCCAACTTCATACTGATAATTCTTTGTCGCTGACAGCACTCTTTGCTTTACTCTTTTATCTATGTCATTTTCTTTTATGTCATCAATTAATTCATAGCATATGAAGTCATCAAGTGATACCATCAAATCAAAATCGCTCTCAAATATCCGACTAACTCCCTCTGATTTGCTGCCTGCTATCATGTCACTAACATTTTCTTCTTCATCTGCTGTCAAACATTCTCCACAATGTTTCCATGACTTCTGTCGCTGTTTTATACATTCATAACTATATCCAAGTGTATCTAAGGCTCTAGATAAGCAAAATGAATATCTTTTTTTATCCATTTCAATTTATTATAAAGTGCAAACATTTAACATTGCTTAACAAGTTCTTAAATGACATAAAAAAGTATAGAATTACATTATTCCAAAATGAAACAAAGACAAGAAAGTTCACCAGGTACTCTTAACTGTAACTTTCAGAAAACTTAACACCATGCTGAAAATATTAGTGCAATTAATTTGTCTTGATCATAAATTTGAACAATCCATTTAGTCAATTTAGGGTTTTTAATATCAAAAAACTAAAACTGATTTGTCATGGGACATGAACAAACTTGGTACAGGTCTAATAGACAATGCTACACATTATCTTAAACTTTCTAAGCTGTAATCTTTGTGATCTAAAAGAAGATTTTTATAGGTTATGGTAAGTAAGACTATGAAAAGTCAAGCAAGCCCCAGATGATGCCAATATTCTGGATTTTTAAAGTTCTTCATACCAATATTTAAGCTCTCGGGGTAGTGGTTTGGGAAAGATTTTTAAAGATTTCACTTAAAGTAAGTCTATTTCAAGGATAGCCATCTTTAATTGTATTAACTGAAGAGCTTGTAAAAATGATATCTTTAAAGTGCCTACATAACATAGTGGATCAAATCATATTTATTCAAAAGTAGCAAATAAATAAAACAAGAGCGATCAGTAATCACATGTGTCGCCTCATGATGGCCAATTTTATGTTGGGACAAAGTTTGTGACAGACGGACAGACAGACGGACAGTGCACAACTAGACTTGGTACTGATCATTCCTGTAAAGTTTGGATAAAATTGCACCAGTAGTTTATGAGGAGTAGTCCGGACAAGCTTTTGTGTATCTGGCAACACACAGAAAAAACACCTTTTGATCAAAGGGCCATAACTCAGCCAAAAATCATTCAACCGGAAAACCCGTGCAATATGCGCAAGGACTTGAGCTACAGATCAATCCTGTAAAGTTTCATTGAAATTGCATTAGTGGTATAAGAGAAGTAGTCCAGACAAACTTTAAAAATAACAAGAGGGCCATGATGGCCCTGAGGTCGCTCACCTGTATATAGCCCCCCCCCCACCCCCGGGCCAATTTTTACCCAAGGGCTTTTATTTGTTTATTTGAACAGACTTGGTAGACACCCATAAGAAGATGTTTCATGCTAAACATCTAAGTTCTAGCTCATTGGGTTTTTTAAAAGAAGATTTTTTATACACATATAGTTAAAAACAATGACACCCCTGGGGCAGGGCCAGTTTTGACCCCCGGGCTTTTATTTGAACAAACTTGGTAGACATTCACTAGAAGATGTTTCATGCCAAATATCTTAGCTCTAGCTCTTTGAGTTCTTTAAAAGAAGATTTTTTAAGTTTTTACTATATGCATATAGGAAAAATCTATGACCCCCTGGGGCGGGGCCAATTTTGACCCCAGGGCTTTTATTTGAACAAACTTGGTAGACACTCACTAGAAGATGTTTCATGCCAAATATCTTAGCTCTAGCTCTTTGGGTTCTTTAAAAGAAGATTTTTTACGATTTTACTATATGCATATAGGGAAAATCAATGACCCCCTGGGGCGGGGCCAATTTTGACCCCAGGGCTTTTATTTGAACAAACTTGGTAGACACTCACTAGAAGATGTTTCATGCCAAATATCTAAGCTCTAGCTCTTAGGGTTGTTTAAAAGAAGATATTTAAAGATTTTTCTTTCGGTTGCCATGGCAACCAGAGTTCTGCATGGAATTAAATTCTTTGAACAATTTTTAAAGGTGACCACCAAAGGAACATTCCTGTGAAGTTTGGATGAAATTGGCTCAGTGGTTTAAATGAGGAGATGTCATTTAAAGCAAAAGTTTTGGACGGACGGACGCCGGACGGACGCCGGACGAAAAGCGATCACAAAAGCTCACCCTGTCACTTTGTGACAGGTGAGCTAAAAATTATTAAAGGGCCATAACTCTGACAAAAATCATTGAACCGGAAAATGCTGACAATATGCACAACTACACTTGGTACTGATCATTCCTGTAAAGTTTGGATGAAATTGCACCAGTAGTTTATGAGGAGTAGTCCGGACAAGCTTTTGTGTATCTGGCAACACACAGAAAAAAAATACCTTTTAATCAAAGGGCCATAACTCGGCCAAAAATCATTCAACCGGAAAACCCTTGCAATATGCGCAAGGACTTGAGCTACAGATCAATCCTGTAAAGTTTCATTGAAATTGCATTAGTGGTATAAGAGAAGTAGTCCGGACAAACTTTAAAATTAAAAATTATTAAAGGGCCATAACTCTGCCAAAAATCATTGAACCGGAAAATGCTGACAATATGCACAACTACACTTGGTACTGATCATTCCTGTAAAGTTTGGATGAAATTGCACCAGTAGTTTATGAGGAGTAGTCCGGACAAGTTTTGTGACGGACAGACGGACAGACAGATGACAGAGAAGTGATCCCTATATGTCGCCACTACTCCGTAGAGGCGACACAAAAAGAACTGAAATGGTTGGTAAGTTTGGTAAGTTTTAAGGGTTTTCAGGATGCACTTCCATTTTAAAAGGCACACCTTGGACTAAAACCTGTGTTGGGGCTGCAGAAAACCTGCATAATTCTGTTACAAACTTTATAATACACCATTGGTAAGATATGGCTCAATAAGCTTATAGCTTCCAACACAATCAAACTAAAATAAATTAGTGTAAACTAAACTATAAACCATTAAAAACAAGCATTTGATAGTATTGCGGGCAATACAGTAGTCCCCTACCGGTCCCTCAAAAAGTTCTTTAATTGTCATACACTCCTGTGTATTGCCATTTATAATGAATTTGAGGATGAAGTCTGTATTTGAAAATATCAACCACAAAACATAATAAAATAAGTTTGTCTATATCACAGTAATGTGTTAAGTTTCCATGCTTAGTAAGGAAATTATGTTATACAACCTTGTCATATTATTACGATGTGGGATTTTAAAGTAAATCCTATAAGGAATGAAGAAGTTGGAGTGAAAATACCAGTTTCTCGAAAAAAATCTAAGTTCAAGGGGGACATAATTCTGGAAATAGTCTTGCTAGAGTATTTAACCTTCTCAAAAATGTCGAGTGATAATAAGAAACATATATATGAAGTTTGAAGTAGATACATTAGGAAATAAAGAAGTTATTTAAAAAAGACAACATTTTTTTCCCCTAAAAAATCTAAGTTCAAGGGAGGTAATACTGATATTTTTTGTGCTAGAGTTATAAACCTTGTCACATATGATGTGGTTGATGACCAGAAACTTATATTTAAAGTTTGAAGTAAACACCTTAAGAAATAAAGAACATATAGTGAAAAAGCTGAAAAATTTAAATCAGAAATCTTGAAATTCAGGCTATTTGTTGCCATAGCAACCAGAATTTTCAACATAGGAAGAAAAGAAAAAGATGTGCATAATCTCCAGACTGCCATCTACCCATATTTCAAGTTTCATAAAAATATTTTCAGTACTTTTTGAGTTATCACTGGATCTAGTTTATGTGTTAAATTTGCCATATTTTCAGACTATTTGTTGCCATAGCAACCAGAATTTTCAACATAGGAAGAAAAAAAAAAGACGTGCATAATCTCCATACTGCCATCTATCCATATATCAAGTTTCATAAAAATATTTTCAGTACTTTTTGCGTTATCGCGGGATCCAGTTTTGTGGACGGACGGACTGACGGACTGACAGACTGACAGACAGACAGACAGACAGACGGACAGACAGACAGACAGACGGACAGACGGACGGAGGGTAAACCTAAAGTCCCCTCCGGTTAAACCGGTAGGGGACTAATAAATGTCATTTTTAAGTAACAAACTTCTAGGTGGATTTCAATGAAACTTGTTATCTTCCACCCCACTGTTCATGATTGGTATATTCACAGGAACTTGAAATTCTATCAAATAACCAATATTAATGATAATATCCAAATATACCCCCTATATACTATAAATAAACCCGTGTTTTTTTTTTTTATAATATGGGGGTATATTTTGCATATTATCTTTAATATTGATAGAATTTCAAGTTCCTGTGGTATATTATAATAACATCCCTGCTAAAATCATGAATAAAATAGATATTCAATGTAAAACAAAAACAAGGTAACCAAAATAATCCAAATGATCCTTTACCTTACAAAATATCTTGCTAATTAAAACAATTTTCTATGCTGTTTACAAATAAATTGTAAAGAAATAAATGACTCACATGACTACCCATGAATACTGAGTTATACTGTTCAGAAATCTGAATCTAGATGAAAAGGAATTAAAGTGCTTTTTGGCTAACTTAATTTATCTACAAGATTGTAGTGAATCCTATAAACCATCATGACATCAGAAGTGAGGGCCATGCACTGATGCTGCTAGTGGTTCTACAGTTACTGCAGACAAGTCTTGCTGTGACCTTTGAAATGTTGCATGCTGTATGTAGGCTCCACACAGGTGAGATACCTAAGGTTCCTACCAGTTTCTTATGGCACTGGTCCCGAATGATGGTTGGGCAACATGAAGCGGCACTGGTCCCGGTTGATGGTTGTGCACTATGAAGCTGTCAAGATTTCAGAGCAGGAAGGTCCGGCTATTACTAGCTGTTTGGTTGTATCATCAAAATGTGGATTATAGGACAGCTCTTCATTAGATTTCACTTCCAAATATTTTCTATTAAGGTATGGCCATGGACATAATATGTAACAGCATAGTGTGGCTTTCTCCAACATGTGCACAACCTCGCACTTGGATGGATGACATCTGACAGTTCCTTTCCCACTACCTTAATTTCTCTTGGTTGCTCTGTAGAACGGCTCTATCCTCATTCTGTCCTGAATCTTCAGTACAGTAAGGAGTCTTCTGAAACTGGCACAAGCTGTAAATGACCTGTCTAGGCACCATGTCATTGATGTGCATGAGGAAGAGCAAGGGACTAAGCACACTTCCCTGCAGATTTCCAGGTGACAGCAGCTTGCTCTGTTGTGTGGCCCTCAACAAGAACTCTGTGGAATCTGTTGCCGAGTCTCTATCCAGCTCAGTACCAGAGGCTGTATGTCCTGATGGCGAAACTTGTGTAATAGGCATCCGCATGGGACCTTATTATTAATTCTTCGCTGAAGTCCAGCAGATAAAGCACAGATCTGTTCACCATCTTCAAGTGTGGCAGCCATTTCTTGTTACTTATGATCAGCTGAGTCTCACAAGAGTGACATTTTCAAGTCATGTTGTAAATCTGATAAAAGATTGTGGTAGTCTAGTTGTTACATGACCTGACTATGGATGATATCTTAAGTTTTATTGATTTGCAGCAGACAGAAGTGAGGTTGGTCTAAACAATTATCATTATGTGTAAGTTTCTCTATATTGCTGATCAGCACTGCCGAAAATACATTTACACATTAGGCGACAGATATAATATTTAGCTCCAGGATTAGGACTTAAAATATTCATGACGTTGCTTTATTTTTACGTCATATCATAACTTTCATAAACTATAACAATCCCGTAACATCTAATGAATTGGACTACATATGCATATACGTCAAATATTTTGGACTAGCACAAATGTGAATTCAAGTAATTATATATTTTTCCCCAAGGTAGAGGCTGAGGTTTATGCTATTAATTAATGCAAAAAGTAGAAAATAGATAGTTTTCTGTGTGTATATAATTTTCACACATTACTTATGAAGTCTATAAAGTGAAAGGTATTCACTGCTCAATGTTAAAAATTCATTTAAAATTAATTTTCTATTATGATTTTGATAATGATGCATACAGGGTGATCCAAAATATCTGATACTGTTTTGAAGTTGAATAAATAAGTCATTCCTGATGCAATAATTAAGTTCTATATACCGTTTTAAAGAGAATTGTCATAAGTTTCTCTCATGAGTAATTTATGGCAAAACGTTGATGTCACGACGTCATAGATGACGTAATTGAATAATAGCTATTTTTCAAGATGGCGACGTCAAAACAGAAGGCTGCAAAATAGTTAAACTTTATTTTGAGACTAAGTCTCCAGTTACTGTTATACGCATGATGCAGAAAAAATATCCTGACGATGGCATACTCACAAAGCTTCAAGTGCATCAGCTGGTAAATAGATTTCAACATACTGGGTCAGTTGAGGATAGCCGACACAACAACAGTGGACCAAACGGTATGGACAGCGCTGAGTTTGACTGGTGTGATTGAACCATTCTTTTTTTTAAACCAAAGTTGAAACCAAAACAATAAATAGTGAGAGATAAAATTTCTTTTAGCCTTACGAAGAAAAGGTGTTAACATTAATACAATATGGTTTCAGCAAACTGGAGCGGCACCGCACAGTGTGGGGGCACGTGTTTGAATGGTTGAAAGAAACATTTGGCAAAAATTTATCTCATTTCAATCAGACAAAGTCTGGCCTCCACACTCACCTGATCTAAATCCATTAGATTTCTTTCTATGGGGACACTTAAAAGACAATGTTTATAATCCAAAGCCAGATACCCTTGAGCAGCTGAAGTCAGCCATTCGCAGAGATATAAGAAAAAATAGATCTGCAATGTGTGTTAACGCTTTTGAAAATTTTAAAAGGAGACTTGACGTCGTAGTAGCACAAAATGGACGTCACATTGAACATTTGATGTACATTTTGTTGGGTCCAATTCATTTTTATTTTTTTATCAAACAGAATGACTTTTATGTTAAATAAAACTTTAAAATCTCTTGTTTAATTATGTGTGTTGATATTTAAAATCGTCCGATGTATGTAAAACATACAATACATTGAAATGGTATCAGATATTTTGGATCACCCTGTAAATGATTTATCATTCAATGAGAACATTTATTTATCCGAAAATATCATGTATCCGGATATTATTCACTTTAAAATTCAATTTTTTTTAAGAATATAAGTTACCATGGAATACCAGTCCGTGAATATGAATCTACGGTCTCTCGAAAAGGCCTACCATTCACAGATCCTCCAGGCATTTTCTTAAACTGCTAGTTTATCTTCTTGAAATTTGTGTTTCTTTAGGACTTATTTGTTTAGTAATATTTGTATCGTAACACCGGTTATTCCCAAAATGGCGACTGAATTGTTTGGGTAAGTTTCGGTTTGACTTTTCCACCGATGTTACTGAATTGTTGCAAAAATACTCTTTGATTAATGTAAAGAAGTAAACTATATTTTTTTTCTGTCTATTTCAGGAAAGCAAATGATGAATTTATCAACGAAAATTATCAGAAAGCACTAGAGGTAAATTTCTGAATTCCAGTTTCGACTTTCGTTCTTGTTCTAGCAAGTTCCATGTGCTAAATCTATAGTTTCATTTAAGTTATTTTATGAAGAATTTAATTTTTGGTTAATATTATAAACACATTTTCACATATTGAAAGTGTATGCATCCATGTATCATTCAGTTTCTGCCTGTCAATGAGGCATGCTTGTTATGACAAACCTGGAAGTATCCTAATCAATTATTCCGTTTGAAAGAAATATATCTTATTACTATATAATTATACATTGTACTTCTCCCGAAATAAAGTACATGTATATTCAATTTTTTTTATTTATTTGTCTTATATTTATAAACTCTCTCTGTCGAACTTTGTAAATAACCGAGGTATGTAATATTGAGTGAAAAAGCAAGACTTGTTTCCCTTAGTTTCCCTTCGCTTGCAAAAGAATGCAAATTTAGCCGTGTTTAAATCGCTAGTTTGGGGGGAGTAAATGTCCGATTTTAAAATTTGTTACACCAATTAAAAGCTGGTGATCTTAGCTTCCTCTCAGTATATATTTCAACACATTGTTTGACACTGAAGGTATTTAAATTTAGGGTTAAACCTACCACGAGTCATATATCGGTTGGTTATCTTTACTCGCAATTCTACTGATAAGAAAAGCCTGTCTGCTGCTAGTTCTGAAACTGTCAATCCGTGTTTTATAAATAATTACAATAATAACAATAAAAAGTGATAACACAAACCTATATTAATAATTAAAAAGTGGGTCGAGTTGACCCGTGCCGAGTTGGAATAGGGCCGAGCTGACTCGGGGGCTGAGTACGTTTTAGGGCCGAGCTGACCCGGATTCGTTCCTGCCTGTCAATGAGGCATGCTTGTTATGACAAACCTGGAAGTATCCTAATCAATTATTCAATAATTATGATGATGTGCCTGTCACAGGGTTAGTGGGACTCGAACCCAGAATACCATTGCAAGGCTCAACCTACTGAGCTATTCGGCCAGTCAGTGTTTTTTTCACCAAAATATTCGGCGAAATTCGGCCCCATTCCCCCCTCAAAATAGTATGTTTCCCCCCCCCCCTCAAAGCTGAAATTTCCCCCTATATGGCAGCACGAATCTGCCTGCAATGAATATCATTTTCTTGCAACTAACTGCAGAAAAGTTAAGTAAGGTTGTTTACAAATTGTTCTCAGGTAGGTAAGGGAAGCTTAGTAACTCTGGTGTTTCAACACGTTGATATTTTAGATCCGTATATTAATAAAATGCGACATATCTTAAACCTGTGTTGCAAGATTTGCTTCCCTTTTCTAATGGAATGAAAACAGTTTAAAATAAATAAACAAATAAAATTGCCCTCCTATTGCATTTTTTCCCTTCCAAAGGGCACCGACCCCCTTCCCCCAAAAGTGAAAAAAAACTAGGCCTCTTGCACGTCTTAGTGAACAGTTCTGAACCATGACGTACAAGTAAGCTCCCCGCTTTATTGAAATTCATCCTCGAGTTTATCGAGATTACAGAGTAATGCAAATTAAACTCTGTGCTATATGCAATCACATAGTCCAATATATCAGAAGTTACCATCTTGTAATAGGCTAAGCAAAAATATAGAGCGAAGTCATAGAACTAGCAGTCACAGCGATAAATGTGACAGGGTAAGAAATTATGTGCAGCCTGACCGGACTCGAACCTGGAATACCATTCCGCGGCTCTTCTCCCCTAAATAGTAATCAGGTCTGGACCGTGACAACTGACATGCCAAAACTAGATTCTGAGATATTTTTGTTATGTGTCTGGATTTCATACAGGGGAAATATTTCGCAGGGTTCTAGCCAGCCCATAAATCACATGTATATCGCATGCCAAATGCCTTCAGACTTTGAGGTATAATTGCGTCACTTGTTTATCTTCCTGACATCCCGTAATAACCAAAGAAACACTATGTTAGCTTTTAATAAACAAAACATTTTTATGTATCCAAGCATGTTGCATACTTTCTTAATATGTGACTGTAACAGCAGATGCATAAAACCAATGAAAAGCTTCATAGCAAAGTTATGATGGAACAATTGTTTTCGCATGTATAACCTCACCTTAAATTTGGTTTTGGCATCTGCCTTTGATGTTGTTTTGGGCACAAGGATTTGGAAAGGATATGGATCATGATAGGACAGCTTTTAGTTATTTTTTACCGTAAGAAATGGTTATTAGAAATGTATGAAACTGACTATGATACTAATCATTGAATTGTCTATCTAAGCATCATATGATGTTAATTGCACTTGATTGGTATTTGATGTTCATGTATAAGTTGGCTAACATTGTAATTTATTTAATATTTACATTCAATACTTGAATTGTTGTAGTAATTGGAATATTTCATTATGAATATATCACAACAAATCATCAATAAGTGTAAATTTCAATTCAATATTAGTATCATTGTTAACATATGGTACAAACAAAATGCAGGTGTATGAAATAACCTAATAATGTGGTTTTTCTAGTTGCCAATTAACCTCTCTATATAATTATACTCATGACAGAACGGTCATTACTGAAGAGAAGGCTGTGAAGTCTAGAGTGAGCTTAAGAAAAAGACTGTTTTAATTACTGAATAAATTGTTCATAAAACACAACACTTAGTACTTTCCTTTACCCGCTATGTAACAGTTGTCAATATTAAAAGGAGAACCAATTGCCTAGTAAAAAATTTTTGCAACATGCCTTCAGAAATTCCTGGCTAGATCCGTGTTGCCCATGCAAAAAGAAGAAAAAGAATTCAACTCTGACTCAGTACAATTAGTTAGTACAATTAGTTGGACTATTCACATATTTTTGACTCTATAATCATGCTTTAATGGAAGCAAAGTTTGCGACAAAAGATGCAGGCCTGTACATTTTCATAAAAATATTCTAGTGAACATAACAATGTATCTAAGTAGATAATGCGTTTTTCAATATTTAAATGTGTTTGTGCATTTTAGTTCATCATATAACACACAAGTACTACATGTATATATCCAATGATTTTTTGTGTTTTACTTTATGTTCAGCTATACACAGAGGCACTCGATCTAGAGAGGAATAGAGATGACATTCTTTGCAACAGAGCTCAAGCTCATCTCAAGCTGGAACAGTACAAAGGTAAAAATAAACAATCAATATTTGAATTAGTTAACTATATAAACTTTTAAGCATTTTATCCCACTGTCATTTATAAAAAGTGTACCTTTGTTAGATTTCAAGGATTATTGAACATCGAGTCTCCTGGGATAACTCATGTGATGTAGACTTTAAAGGGAAGAAAAAAGAAAGTATTTTAGAATAGTGAAAAACAAAATCCATAAAGAACGCCCAAAAATGGCCAAATTTGAAGACTATTTTGGAAGATAAAAAATGAATTTAGAAGACTATATTTTTTATTGAAGAAGGCTATTAGTTTAGCCTGCCAATTATTTTTGTACAAAAACTCACTTTTATAATTTCTCAAATTTTGTGAAGGAATAAAAAACCAATTTTCTATTTCAGAGGCAGCAGAAGATGCTTCTGAAGCCTTGGCACTAAACCCTAAAAATAAAAAATCTTGGTTTAGAAAAGGGTAAACCTTTTATATCTTTTTGCCTTTAAAATAAATAAGCTGCCCGTCAAAGCACAATTCATTTGCTTATGTCTTCTTACATCTATTTATTGTTTTTCATAGAATATTTGAATATAATTTTTGATAGGTTTGAAAAATTTGTTCACTGGATTGTGAAATACTTGAATGACCTTTCATTTAAAATTTTGACTCTGTTTTATAAATGGTCTTATAAAAGGAGTTAATGTTAATGCTGTACTTAACAATCACATTAACCTTTATTTTGGTGAATTTGTGCAATATGCCCAGCTTTTAATTTGGAGTAATCTATTCAATGTCCAAGGCATTTCAATACGAAGATACAAAAAAATGTGTGTAATATAAAGAAAAACAACAAAATATAAAAAACAACATTAAAATCAATCTGTATCAATTGATAAAATTTGTATTGATAAGTTCTATGTTTTTAATTGAAATATGTAAACCCATTGTAGGATTGCATTGTTCCATCTGGAAGATTACCAGTCCTCAAAAGATGCTTTTACAGAGGGGAAAGTCCTTGATGGTAAGTTGTATATAGAGAGCATGACAAAGTGACATGCTTATTATGTACTGTCTGGCTGAGAAAAATTAGCTGTATAGTTCAATATATTGACTAAAACAAAACAGCATTTCTGTCAATTACCAGCATTGATTTCACCTGAAGACTGATGCAGCACATACCTGTATGTCAAATATAGCTACAGTACTTATTCAAATGTAACAGTCAACATTACATAGACTTTCTTTTTTGTAGTCAATTTACGGTAGTTTTTACATTTTATCCTAAACATTTGTCATTTTCAATTGCCATTAGACTAGCTTTAACTTTGAAATAAACTTTGGAAAATATTTCACAAAATATTGTGTGCATTTTGAAATGATAGCAATATTGGATAATGTTTATAACATAAAATTGTGAAATCAAATTTTTGTATTTACAGCTGAAGATAATAATTTCAAGACATGGATCAGAAAATGTGAAGCAGAGCTAGACTGTAAGTGTCTTAGATTATTTTTTTTACTGTAATCATTTTTCAAAACTCATTGTTTTTTCAAAGTGATTACAAATATATTTTGGGGGCGTCCGTGGCCGAGTGGTTAAGATCATTGACTTCAAACCACTTGCCTCTCACCGCTGTGGGTTCGAATCCCGACAGGGACTTTGGATTCTTTCATGTGAGGAAGCTATCC